ATGGTGGTCATGCTGCCAAGGTCTATGATTTTATTTTAGCTTGGTTTCACACATTTTGTGAATTTCTTTTCAAATATTAATTTTGTGTGTCTGTCTGTTATATTTAAATGAATTTAAATAAAATTTGATTGTCAGAGTTTGCTATTATACTTAGTATAAATGTTAATTTTTTATTGATTGAGATATTTAGTATAAATGTTGATTTTTATTGATTGAGAATGCAAGAATATCAATAAAGAGGTAACTGTAATTTGGAAATTAATGTATTTATTAAAAAGAAAGTTGAGTTTTTTTTGTTTGTTTTTTTCGTACTATATCCTTTGCTAGTTTCTGATAATGTAAGAAATCTTTTCTTCTATTTTTGCACTGTCAATCCAATGCCACTACATCAGGATTAATATCAAAATCATTCACATAAGATAAAAATGAGAAATGTTGGAAAAACTGCCCCTTTTGTTTGATTCTGGACAAATCATCATCATCATTTAGGAGCTAACGCCGGCAGGGGCGCATAGCCGCATCCACCCTTTGCCTCCACCTACGAGGATCCCTCATGGCGAGCCGCCAGGCAGGGGCCCGGCCCATCTCTAGTTCCTCATGACAGGTTTGATCGATCTGCCCAAGCCACGACCTTCTCGGTCGTCCCACAGGCCTCCTCCACCCAGGGTTGTCACGGGCAGAGACAACCCGATAGGCAGGATCATCCTGCGGGAATCGAGCCAAGTGGCCATATAGCCTGAGTTGGCGATCACGGATTGTGCAAGTAACAGGTCCTGTACCGGTCTCACAGTATAGCCGTTGGTTGGACACATGGTCCCGCCAACTGTACCCCATGATCCGGCGCAAGGATCTGTTACAAAAGACATCGAGACGAGATTCCAAAGCACAAGATAGTGTCCAAGTTTCACTATCATATAGTAAAACTGGCAGTATCAGGGCCTTGAAAACACATAGCTTAGTCCTTCTGCACAGGTACCGGCATCTCCAAATACTCTTGTCGAGAGATTTCATGACCCCTGCTACCAGGCCAATCCGTCCACTGACTTCCTGGTCTGACAGCCCATCGTCATGTACTGCACTACCGAGGTATATAAAGCTCCTTGTGACTTGTGTTTTCACCGCAAGCATGTACCGACTGCACAGGGTCTCCTAGTAGGCCCCCAAAATCCTGGATTTTGGTCTTGGTCCAGGAGACTTCTAGCCCCAGGGGCTTCGCTTCATTGCTAAATGCATCAAGAGCCGCCACTAGGGTTTCCAGAGATTCAGAAAGAATGGCAACATCATCAGCAAAGTCAAGGTCTGTAACCTTGATATTGCCCAGAGTTGCTCCACAGTGACTTTGGACTATAGCTCTACCCAGTATCCAATCCATGCAAGTGTTGAAAAGTGTTGGTGCAAGAACACAGCCTTGCCTCACGCCAGAACTAACAGGAAAGAAGCTCGACAGGCCCCCACCACACTTTGCAGCACTTTCAGTGCCTGTATACATGCACCATATCAAACGCCTTCTTGAGGTCAATGTAGGCTGCGAGCAGCCCATGTCCGAACTCACGACAGCGCTCTACAATGACTCAAAGCGCCAGGATGTGGTCTATTGTGGACTTACCAGGAATGAATCCAGATTGCTCCGGTCTTTGGTGCCTCAGCAGGTGGTCTCTGATACATCTCAGTAAGATGTGCGCAAGTACCTTGCCTGGTACACTGATACAACTGCTCAAAAAACTCAGCCCAACGCACACGCACCCCATCAGGATCTGAGATTACCTGGCCACTTGCTGAGCGGACTGCCGTCAATTATTGAGAAATATAGAAAAGCTATGAATGAGAATAAATATCTTCACAGTAAAAGAAGTTTAATTAGTACCCAAGAGTAAAAAGAACTCAAATCCAACTATAATATCAACTTTCCAATCACATATATCAATATGTGATCTGGGCCTCCTGTATATCCAGATGAAATGCACTAAAGCTATGCATATACTCTTTACATACAAGCAAAGATGCACTATGGTGACTGACATGAAGGTGATGGTTAATGGCTAATGGTTAGAAGAAATGTGCCAGACATCAAAAGTCATATTGCACTATGGTTGCTTGTTGTGGCAAAAAGGGTGGAAATGAGTTAATGATCAGAATAAGATGTGTTAGATGTCAAAGGTTGTAGAATGCTGTAGGATAGAATAGTAGTGAAAAGGGTATAGAGGGGCAGCAAATGGAAGACAGTGGGGATTTGTAAAAGGATAGTGTTAAAGATCAGATCAGATCAAATGGAGACATGAAGGTAATAATACTTTTTTAATGGTTGATAGGGTAATGATTAATGGTTAATTTTTAGAAGAAATAAATGTGCTAGACATCAAAGGTCATATAGCACTATGGTAAAGTATTGTGACAAAAAGGGTAGAATAGATTAATAGTGAAAAGGGCATAGAGAGGGAGTAAATGGAATACAGTGGGGATTTGTAAAGGGGATGTGGTTAAAGGTATAGGACGATCAGATCAAATGAGGTGTTTATGAAACAATCAAAGGGTAATAAAGTAACAAACCTTAGTTGTAGAAGTAGGAGAAGAATCCAGAGAATGAGGTAAGTGAACAGGAAAAGGTGGTGAAGTATTGGGAAGAATGTCAGGAGGGGAGGGATCTGCAGGACATTGTTGTGATATAATGGAGTCACATGAGCATCTAAGTGGAGGTGGCAAGGATAATGGAAAATGAAGAGGGAATGGTGATGCACATGGAGTAGGAGAGGATGGGGTATTTTTTGACTGGGAGGAAAAGGGATAGGGGGAACTTGAGGAGGAGGAGGATGGATATCAGCAGATACTTTGAGTGTAGAGTGAATAAAGGGATTAGAGGGTGGATGAGGGAGTGGATCATTCTCTTGAGTCATGTTATGAACTTTTGGATGTCTTCAAGAGTTTCTGGAGGGGAGCTGGGTGGGGAGGCCTGAGAAACAAAGGTTTTCTTTTGTGGAGAAGAGGGAGTGGATGTCCAAGGTGCAGAGGGAGAGGTAGGTGTAGGAGAGGATGTGGTAGTAGATGGATTGGAACAAATTGTCTGGTGCAACAGGTAGAGTGAGAAGGAAGAGGGGGAGGGGTAAGCACCAGGGAAGTGGTAGAAAGCAGAGTATCTGGATTTAGCCTGGAAAAGGAATTTGACTGGGGGAGAGAGGTAGTAGAGATAGGTTGGGTTGGCTAGAGGGAAGAGATACAAGGGAGATGTTGAGACTTCTTGAGAAGATGGGAGGGGAGCAGAGTAAAGTACTTTCTTCAAACAGACAGAGAAAAACCTAGTCAGCATGCTTTTTGTCTGGCCTCACGTAGAGTGAGGCTCAGTTTGAATCTGAGAATTGCTACTCAGATTTGAGCTTGTAGGCAGGGCAGCTCTTATCAAATTTAGTATGGGAGTCACCACAATTGGCACACATGTGTGACTGAGCAGAGCATTTTGAATGGTCATGATCAGGTTGGCCCTATAGATGTCAGTGGGCTGTGGAGCGAGTGTTTGCCTGAAGGGCCAAAACGCAAGCACTTCTGACACTGACGGGTATGACATCTATGTGGTCGGACAGGGCAGGACACTCCACCAATATAAACTTCATGTGGGAGGACATGTCTATGGAAGCTAATATTGGTGTAGGAATAGTGTGGCACTGGACTGTCACTGCATCATAGTCAACAAGGTATGCAAGCAAGTTGTTTTCACAGTCTGACCAGTCTATGTCATAAACAGGACAGTCATTTGGAGAGACAGAAATAGTTCTGGTACAAGTATTAAGGGAGTGAGGTTTGGCAGGAATAGGTTTACCAGTGAGGTAAGGGCTAGATTATTAAACAAGGGAATACCATGCCCCTGGATCCCAGAGGTCGTTCATGACTGACACAAAGGTAGCCTTACATCCTTTCAGCATGGCTCTCACACTTTAGGAAGTAGACAGAAGAAGGGGGTGATGAAGAAGAGAAGGAAAGGAAAGGAGGAGAAGAAAAGACCCAAGCCAAATTAGTTGAGGCAAAAGCCCCAGTCTCTGTCTCCTGAGTCCCACACCCCTACCCCCCCCCCACATACACACACAATAACAAGGAGCAAGGGATTAGGGAGGAATTGATAGGGTAGTGATCATAATTATAGGAAACACAATGTTAGTTGGCCATGTTGCATTCAGTCAGTCATTACCAACCTGTCTGTTCATGTTCACTTTGATAAAGATAGCGTATAAAACAATTTCATGAATACATTATTACCATCTGGGTAAGATAAGGGTAAAAAAGAGCACTCAAAGAAAGAACTTCTTTATTGTGTAGTTTCCATTCCATAGAAAACTATTTCAGTCACAATAATTAATAAATATGAAAACATAATGGTCATGCATATAGATAATAATTTTTGAGTTCCAAAACTTTTCATGTGTGGCAGTTCTCAAGCAAGATAATATAGTGAAGGAATATAAAACTTTACACAGGCATCATTTACTTGGGGGGCAGTAAATGACCTGAACCAAGAACACCTATCTTTTAAGTAAGCATTTTTCCTCAAAGAGTTCTGGGGAACTTCTGCTATTTAACATGAAAAGAACTCCTTTGCTTGTTATGAAAACCTTTTCCCTTGGCTGTTTAGAGAACTGTTTAGGTTTCAATACAACAGAATCACTGACTTCTTGAAGTCATCCATAGATGACTTCATCCACTGTCTTTTCCTATGTGGAAGCAACATTAATAAAAGTTCTTTGAATGTAGGTAAAAGAAAGTATACCTACTTTTGCATAATTCATCTTTCTGTTGCTGTCAGTGTCGATTTATGACAATCAGTAATTTATTTATGAATTCATTCATCTGTTAACTCATTAATAAAATGAAAAACAGCTCTTGTCATTCGCCATTCCTGTTTGTATTTGTATTTGTCTAAAAATAAGCTTCTATATTTTACCCATTGCCACCAGGAACATGTAATATCCATTGTAGCTTTGTTTTGCAAAATGCCTTTATACATTGATGGTTTCACAAATGCTCAGACACCAAAGGGTCAATCAGTAGGCCTACATAACATAACACAATTTCTCCTTTTCTTGAGGTTTGGTAAAAATGTTTTATATTGGTGTTAATATTGACAATGTTATTGTTATTACTGTCATAATTATTAATTTAATATTATTAACATGATTATTAACTAATAAAAAAATGCAAAATTCAAGGAAAAGGATAAACAGGCAAAATAGATAGGACTAGTAATTGACTAACTGGTGACTAAGTATCAACTAAAATCACACTGGACATGAGATGTTCATACATACCATCCCCAGCAACAACAGGTTAATGAGCAATAGTCTTTTATGTTTTTCTGCATGCACTAACTCTAATAACTTTAATCAAACATCACGGAAAATGGCAGTCTCATTTTCTTTGTTAGATTAAGTATCAGCATGCTAGTGATTTTTTTTTTTTTTTTTTAATCAGTAATTCTTCCCTATCACAGATAAAACTCCTATTTCATCAATGATATGACAAAATTCCTTTCTTACTTTTTCTGCACATGAAAAGAGGATATAAAATTTGTATACAAAAACAAGACACTGAGATTTAGACACACTCTTAAATAGTGAGGAAGGAAAGAAACTTGACTATTAGATTTCCTTGCACCCTTCTTTGGAGCTGCTTCCATTAGTCTCACTATGAGGAAAAACCCACGATCTCTCTCAGGAACTAAAAGACCCACATAACTTGCCTGCAGCATATGTTTACAAACTCAACCCTGTAAAGCTGTTGTGTATCACTATTCCTTCCCTAATTCTTATTTAATTTTCTTTAGAAAAATAATGAATACAAGAAGCCAAGATTATCCTGTGCGTTAATTACTTTTTTTTGTTGTTTTATTTTGTTTTTGTTTTGCAAACTGCTGATTGGATTTAATAACAGTGAACTGATACATTTTTCCTTGTGGGAACCATGTATTGTAATTGTCACAAATGATTAAGATGATATGATGATGAGGGTGATGATGACAATGAAGCATGTAACAACCAATGCTTCATATTGTTTCTTAACATGATTTCCTGATGGATTTCATCACAAGGAAACAAAAATAGTGATAATTATAATAAAACAAATCTAGAAAAGGTAATAAAATGTATAAATTAAAAAAAATAATAAATAAATAAAAAAATAAAAAAAAATCATGACAAATAATTGATATTCCAATTACCTTTTTTTTTTTCTTTATTAAAGATCAAAACATTTTAGAACTGCCAAAATATGTAACATACATGATATCCTTAACAATAAATGGTTATAACAGATTCTAATGGCAACTTGTCTATTTCTTGGTAACAATCTGAATAACATCTTCATCAGTCATAATGTGATGTATACCAACACGCTGGGGACTAAACTTTGTACTCCTCCCCTGAAAAAAAAAGTATAAATGTTAAGAGACTTTCTAGAGCCATAATGACAAACAAATAGCTAATTATATATTAGCCAATTATACTATATCACCTTTCTTTTTTATTTGTATGATTCAACAACTAATGACCCATTATATAAAGTAGATGCTTCTAAACAACAAAAATAATAAATCAATTCTGAAGTTTCAGCTCCTCAGATAATGAATTTCCATAAGTCTACATTCCTAACTCAAGTCTAGCAAGGAAATATTCAAGGATAAGCACCTGAGCTGCTAGTTATTACAGCACACACATACGTAAAATAACATGCAGAGTAAAACTGCTAATGGCAGTCATTACTCTTTCAGAGCAGGTTTGAATCCTGTGTTGACAGGTTTCCGATTATACCATGTGAATACATGCAAACAATTTCATGCGTAATTTCACTTCTGACATATTAATTTTATATGTTCGCAATATACTTCTCCAAATATACACACATTCCTAATTTAAAATCCTTTTGGATATAATAAGAACTGATGAACATACCCAAACAAGAGCATATTTGAAGACAGCTACAATAGACCGATGGATAGAGTGGCATACGTGCTCCACTGAAGCTCCTCCTCGTAGGATGATGGGGTCAGAGAAGTCTGGTCCTCTTCCAGGCTTCTTGGTATAGATGCGCAGAAGGGAGAGAGCCTCCCACGTACGGTCAAGCAGGTAGTCAAGGTTCAATTTCATGTTGCAACTGGAGAGAGATGTATGAAATTAATAATGACATGCTGTATGCCTAAAACAGAAACCTTTAATGCATATTAACTATTAGCATTATTTTTTTCTGAAAACACACTAAAACACAATGTAAGGATAATGCCTCTATATCTTCAAGCATTTGATTTAAAATTCAAAAATGTTAAAGAGTCCTGTAATAACAAAGCAACAAACTCAAAATGAATAACATCCTGAAAGGTCTCAGCCCTTTTGGTACATAAAAATCTTCCCCAAAAATAATGGGGATTTCACGACAATATATGCAGATACAGAAAACCCTCAAGAACTGACAACCCTCCAGCTTCTCTGTCCCGAAGCCACAAAAAAAGGCCTGAATTTTCAAGCTTCACTTAAGCAAGTTTTAGTTACAGATGCATGAGGAAATGTCTAAGCACCAGAAAATGTAAGCTATTTCACTGTTATATATCAGATACAGAGTTTCAGTGGAGAAATAAGTTGAAAAAGTAATCACAATACCCCTCAGCTATGAATGGAAATGGGGAAAGATTACAAAAACTATGCAAGACAAACACATATAATCCCATATGTTTACCACATAATATAATGAAATACATATTCAAATCTATCTATAAGTAACTAGACATACATTATAAAAAAAAATGATAATATACCAGAAGGTAATTCTGTGACACATAATAGTATGACGTGTGGAGGGGGAACGCGAAAGACAAAATGAATGGGGCTTTTGCTGGATGAAATATGCCATACAGTACCAGCAACACTACTATACACACTGCATTCCATTTACAGGAAGATAGAGGCTAAAGAACATGATTGCACTTGGCTCCTGGAGAGGAGGGCTTAAAAGGGGAGTGGGGTATGGTGGCTTTACTGAGGGTGTAGCCAAAGGAAACTTACCAAACAGTACCAGATATATTAGTGCACACTACATACCATGGTAGTATGTAATTATGTTCATCCTTTTCTAATACTGGAGTATAAATTTCTTATGTTATCATAATCATACCTTGATTATATATTTGGTTATTACTAACAATCATGTATATTGTTACTGATGTATACAGATATTGTCTTTATAATAGGGCATGAACAAACATGAAATTTGAGGGTCTGTGTGAGGCTAGTAAAACCCTATTCAGCAAAAAAAGTCATACATAAGAACAAGAGACAAGCTGCTCGCTCTCGCTTGCTCAGTAACTGCCTTACAGATCTGTGTAAGTGTAAAGAGTGAAGTAAAGCTTAATCATATTATCAGATTGGTGGAATATAAGTGCGATTCATTAACCATATGTATTTATTCCAGGTGCATTTGACACATTCATGAACAAGAAGTATAAATAATAAACAAGTAAGAAAGTATTACCAGACTGACGTTATCAAAGTACCAATATATGAAAAAGTAAGAGCTCCATATTAATTAACTAAGTAATTATGATCTTATTAAGGAAATAGTGGAATATTTACTACAGCAAGCAGTCAAGCATCTGGATCCAAAGGATTAATAATAATTTTAGAAGTTACCGTTATTGAATATTATGTTTTATACATATGCACTACCAAGTAAAAATATTATTCTGTGCATGATAATACACACGCACACACACAAAAAAAATAAATAAATAAATAACAAATGAACATCAGTGGCAGGAGTACAGCAAGAAACAGTATAAATATAAAAGTACTACATACCTAAATAACTCAAAATGACAAGAGAAAACAGAAATATAAAGGCACCTACCTAACCACCACAGTATTGGGCATGTGAGCAATTCTATCAACTTCTTCAATGGACACTTGATCGATCTTGTTATAGACATAGAGGCACGGCATGTAAACACGGTTGGCAGATATCACATCAATCAAGTCATCGGCCCCACAATCTTCCCTGAATATAACCTGAAAATTGAATAAATCACTCATAAAAATGGACAGGGAATAATCAATATCATCATCCCTACATCTTAAACAAACATAACCTGATAAGTGAATACATCATTTGACCTCTTATAGCCGGGCATGCCTATAGCAGTTGTGAAAAACCAATTCATCATGATGGGTATGGCTATAGGTGTCATGATTCGTTAGAGTCGGGCGGGAAAGTCCGTTGTATGTAGCGGACTCTCCTGCCAAAAGGCTAGACGGTTGCCAGAAGTCACTGGGAATGAGTGACACCCAGAGATTGCTGGTAGCATTGTAAGGTTAAAAAAATATTACATAATAAATCAATTTATAAAAACAATAAACAAATTGGGGGGGGGGGGGACATTTTCAAAGTTGTATTTCATTTGTCAGCTACAGAACTTAATTCTTTCCAACATCTAAAGGACATGACCTCCTTTGTAAAATCAATTAAAAGTTAATCCTGTTGGCATGAGTGGCATGTCGTACCGAGAATGGCCCTTTTACTGGGAACAATTATATCATGCCACCATTATCTGAGTTCAATCCCAATTCATTGCCTTTTTGTCATATCACTGGGGCCTTATTATCTACTTATCAATGCATATAAAGTATGAAAATAAATGTGCCTGGGGTAAAAACAGAGGGCGGCACAATTGAAAGACTGAATTGTATATCTGTTGATAACCTCAATCATATATAAAAAGTAATTCCTGTCCTGGTGACATTTTTCAAGGATTCGTTGTATCAAAGTTCTCTAAAGGTAAGTATAATTCTGATACACTAGTTGATCTTCGCAAGTAGATTACTACTGAGGTCAATACTCATTCTCCATTAATATTCTCAAAACTCAAGCATAAGTAAAAAGACAGAGCAGCATGAATTTGTTTAAATGGGGCATTAATATAATAATCAATATAATTCCAATGATATCATTTTTTTAAATATTAAAGCTAACTTATATTACACACAAATACCTTTCATCATATTCTATATCCGTGTCTCTTTCATTTTCCATTTCCTTTCCAATATCAACTTCTGGTGCTTTTTTTTTCTCTTTTAGCCTTCTCAATATGCAATCCATAGAACTGATCCACAAGAGCAAAAACAAAATATCTCGCATTCTTCCTCAAAACTGTACTTCTCATACCTCAGCATTGAAAATCTTGTATTCATGTAGAATCATCTGCACCATCTTCTCATCAATCCTTGTGAGCGCGCACGTGGCGTTGAATTTCAGGCCACCCGCTTTCTTTTGCTGTTCGGGCAGAAAAAGATCAACCAATTATTATCTCAACCATAAAGCAGAAGTCATCCCAATAACTTCTTTGTTCTATTAAAAGATTGTTTTCATGGATGACAAATTTTAGAAGCCTAAAACAAAGGATCAGATATGCAAATGTGTTGTCAAATTTCTTGTAATAAACATCTTACTTTGAAATAGATTCCAGGTTTTTTCTTGTTGAGCCTAATGCCGACAGACTCCAATTCAGCAGTCAAGAGTTCTTTTTGATTCG